TTTTTTTTTGTTTTTTGTATTTTGCCAATTAAATCGATTATGTTTTTAGGAAGTAATACGTGGGAGCGCATGTAAAGTTTCAGTGGGTTTAATGGATGTGAATCTGAATCTCGATGTTATCACTGGTTTGTTTCCATGTTTTTCATCCAATCTTGTCGCTGTTGCGAAATTTAAACCATTTTGGAAAATTTCTAAATAGATTACTTTGTAAAATCCATATTACCTTTCAGGTGTATAATTTATATTTCTCTTCTGTGATATCTGTCTAAGGAATGATTCATTCGTAGGTTTCTTTTGAAAAAAAAAAGGAAAGATTTATATTTGGGGTATTTTAATAGTGATTTTTATGGGTTCGAGTTTTTTTCACTCAAATTGGTGTATTTGCAATTATTCATTTGTGCTGGTCCACATATAATATGAATCTTTCAATGCTGCAAGCGGATAATGCAAAATTTTGGATTTTCGTTTCAGTTTCCATTGGTTTTACATGGTTTTGTTTGTATGAATTAAATTATATCCAAATTTTTAATTATCCCCAAATTTTAATTATTTCCAAATTTCAATTTAATTAGGTCTCAGTTTCGTTTTACTTTTTCAGAAGCATGGCGGAGCGTGAGAATGAGAACTTCATTTGATGGTGAATGCATGAATGTTGATCCAAAATCAATGAAGGAGCTGTTTTGTATATTAGAAGAATTGAATCGACTGACAAGAAGTGATGATCCGAATTCCTTGCTAAAATCAAGCAATTTTTCTGATTTGGTTCGTTTTAATGTAATTTTAAAAAAAAAAAAGGTATTTCCACGTATGTGTGATAGACATACGTTCTCAATTTTTCGATATATAAAGACGTGTTAACATTCGAAAATGTTCCTATTTTCAGTAGGTTTCTTGAGTCATTTAGCATCAGTTCCCTTTCCCAGAATAAACAACATATGTTACGTTTATGGCAAGCAAAAGCGGATGGCGATATGAAATGGGGTATCGATGTCGTGGTAGCTAATTCGAACATTCGGAAAAGCTTGCATCCAAAGGTTTGGTTGGTTGTTGATGGACAGGAAATTGAAATGAATGTGGAGGTTTTTGCTAAATTAAGGTGATGATTTATGCCTTCTTTGATAAGTGCTTTTCCTTTGATAAGTGCTGTGGAAATCTTTGAAGTTTTGATTTTCGAAGTACCTATTTTAAAAGTTTCTAAATTTTCCCGAATTCCGTTGTTCGATTTCAGGTAGATAGCCATTCAGTATTTCAGTGTATTATGATGTATCCATTATCCAGCAACAAATTAAGTATTTGCCAAAATAACAACCCTTATGAAAGACTATCTTATTACGTCAAAAATTGCAGGCAAGTCTTTTCAGATTTGAGGTTTCGCGAGCACTGAACCGAATTGATTACTACACATAAGTTAAGTGAAATATCTTCTTATTTTTCAATATGTATTCGGTTGGAGAATGCGCGGGTAGAGGTAAATAGTTAAATAGAATTAAATGATACGAAGTTTTTCTTATCCTTTAAATTTAATTGATACAATGAGTCATGGACGTGAAGATTTGCTTATGATTGTATCACGGAAAAAAAATACATCATATGTATTTTCCAAAACTTGTTACACGTCCAAAACTTTTACATTCAAAAACTTTCAATACAATCCGTTTGTTCTGCCTTATAATGATTTCTTGATTATCTCAACTGTTCTGACGATACCGAATCGAACTCAATACTCTAATTCCAAAAGGATTTGTATTATGACCATTTTTTGTGCTATTACATGTGCAGGAACAGATCGTTTTTGCGGCTGTTTGTGTTGTTAGACAGTGCATGAAGCGTAGAAGGTTTTTTGCTATGCATCCATATCCGTGTAATTCGTTGAAGCATGGATTCAAACAAATTTTATATTTATTCCTGGAATAAACTTAATTCTAGCAAACAGCTGTCTGAATATTATATATAAAGTATCATTATGTTCGCTGAGTCATTTCAGTTTTTCTCTTTTTTAAGTTGTTTTCGGACTTTGTTATATTTATCAGATTTCCAAGATCTAAACTTGTTTATATTCTATTGATGAGTGCTATTTTGTTGTATATGCTTAATATCCTTTTTATCGTGTAAATAAAATCTAATATCTGAATATATATATATATATAAAAGAAAAAAAATTTGCAATTTCGAAATTTAGCGAAAATTATCACTGAGAATTCATCGGAATTTATTGCATACGTAGCGAAATTGTCTTGTAAAGATTCTGAAGATAGAGCAATTGAAACTTTTTTTTAAAAAAAAAGATTTGAGAATGAAATTTTCATCAAAGGATACCAAATAAATACCAAAATTATTATAAAATTACTAAAGAAATAGCGGAATAGTTTGTGAAAATACTCGTCCTACCAACAAAAAACAATATGAGTGCAAAAGAGTGCTGAAAATTCCGAACTGTGATTTTATTTAAATTGAATCATTTGGATGTTATATTTGAAAAGTATTTGAGAAATCAAATATATTTAAGATTAATTGGGAAGGGAATGCTAAGTTGAGATAAATGTTGAATTTATCCGGTCGAAGTAATTTCATTTTGGCAAGAAGAAAGATGAAATATGGATTTGGCCATGTAATTGTGGTATCTGTTTCGTTAATAACTTCATAAATACCTTTTTTTAAAAAAAATTCAATTCGGGAAATTCGGAAAAAAAATTCAATTCAATTCCTATGTTTTGAACATAAGATGGGATTTACCAGACCAAATGATGAAAAGCCGAAAAAAAGAAAATAGAATGAAGACAAAAGTAAAAATCGGGAATGGAAATGAAAGAAAATAAAAATAGGAAAAGTAAGTGAATACAATGACAATTATTTCTTTAGTTTGATTATATTTTTCAGATTTTAACTTTTTTTGCTAAATTTTTATACACTTATAAATAGCCGTTATTAATTCTTGTTTCTATTTGTTATCGATTTGGTTTTGGCGCTTCTTTGGTGGTCTTTTTGTACTTTGCATATTCGTCAGTTATTTCTTTTTCTTTCGTTGTAATTTTTTGATTGAAGCTTTCGATTCTTCAATATTTTGATTTGTTTGCTTACTAGTTAGTTTTTTTAATAAAATTTGATCATTTTCATTTCAAGAAAGAGTCATTTATTGTGGTTTGAATTATTGTTTGATATTATTGTTTCCTCAATAAATAATTTAAATCGGAAGGCTCAAAAGTTATACGAAATTTCATACTTTATCAAGAGTAACTCTAACTTTTCGTGTCACACTTTTTTTTAATGAATCGCATTTGCGAAGAAAATGTTGCAAAATTTTCAGATAATATTTAACAATTTCTTAATATGTTATGATTTGTTCAATTTCGATTATACATATATATTATATATATGTATATATGCTTGACCACTGCTATGGTCATTCTTCTCTCCACGAATTTCATTTTAAATTATGAATTATTCAGATATATTTTTCTGTCAGCACAGTTACTCCTCAATCATTCACTTCGTTTCTTTTTTGGGACTTTTTTAATTTCTAATTTGATTTCTTTTTTTATTAACTATTGTAAACTTAACGTCCATGAGCTGTGTAATATTGATTTCGACAGCATATGTTTCACTTTGGTAACATCTTCTTGACGTTCCATCAAACATTCTAAATTAGTCATGAAGAATTGAGTGAAATTAAGATTTAAACTAAAAAATGTGACTAATGGATTTTTTCAATTTAGATACTTTTCTTTATATTGCAGAGAAAAATTTTACTCTGACAAATATTGTGGCCTATATTGGCCAGAAAGGTTTAATATTAAAAATTAATTAACGTGATTTTAAGCTTTCAATTAATATGATGGTAAAGATAGTGATGTAATGAATAATATTAGCCATTTGATCATGACAATTTGATGAACTTAATGAAAACAGAGAAGCGGAATTAGACTTTGATAAAAGATTTAATGATCAGAATATCCAGTACATATATTTATATATATGTCTGTATAATTCATCTATCCTATTTCCATCATCGAATCAACTGGAAACGATCTTTTCTCATTGTCCATCAAGCCAGGTGCAATTATAAATGTGTAAAAGTATGTTTCTTTATGTATCCTGTGGCATTATTCATATCGGATATTGCAAAACTTAATAGTACGACAACTTTTTTTTCTTTTCAAATTACTCATAAATAAATATCCAATATTGTAATGAATGAACAATATTAACTAAACATCTAATGTCGTGAAAACGAAACCTCAAATAAATTCATTCACATTGTAAATTAATGCTAATGATACTATGAATCACTCTTAACATATGTAAATATGTTAAAATTTCTTATTCCTTAAAATTGTTTCCCATTCCTTAAAATTGTTTCCCACACTCTTTTGTTGTTATCTTATCTAACCAATTTGCATTTTTATGTTTCAACCCTTAATTTCCCATGTCAATCATTCTGTTTAATCTTGTTATAATGTTTGTACCATATCCGGTTTGTTTCCGATACTTGAATTCTTCATGTAAGCCACTCCCATTTCTTAACATATGTAATCTCGGTCCCAAATCCGGGGGGGTTTTTTGGCTGCTCTCCTCTTCGAAGGTTATCGGCTTCTTCTTCTGTTTATTCTTTGCTTCTACGGACATTGGCGGATTTTTATCAATCTCTTATCACGATAAAG